TTTCATTTTATAGTATCTTTTTCACATCTGTGTTGCTTTTGTGAAGATCTTGGCTTTTCAGAACAGTTTAGAAATTTGTTCCAATCTATTTGTTATTCAATCTCCTAATGATTTTTAGAACATATTGATAGAAAATCAAATAAATTTCATTTTATAGTGCCTTTTTCACATCTGTATTGCTTTTGTGAAGATCTTGGCTGTTCAGCATATGCCATGCAAGTAAATGTTGATCTTGAATCAATAGGAAAAGCTGCCCTTGAAGGTCTTCATGCACTACTGTTTCCTGGGCGTTTGGCTTTAGGAACATGAGGCAACTCCTCTCACTAATGAGAGTTTGTCTGCAGGTATTGGAAAAGGTAATTAAAGGTGTGATGCCCATTAATTAAAGTCTGTTTAATGCTCTTGCCCATGATTTTTTTAATTAATAGAGTGGCCTGAGGTCACAGTAATTCAATCGAAGACATTGATGACAAACACCACAACTGAAGAATTCTAAGGGTTTGAGTTTTTTTTCCCTAAAAGTTAATCAACTTGTCAGGAATTTACCCTTGTGGATAAATCCATCTGTCAGACACAGAACAAAAAAGGGGCGATGTGGAGGGATAGAATGTAAGAAAATAATGATAGTGCAAAGGTAGTCTCACACCTGAAGGGTTTCAGCTGTACTAATCACAAAGATTAATAACAAGCCTGCCCTTAATAGGCCACAGCTGTGTCCAATGAGAAAATGAGTGCTACAAAAGAGTGGGTTAGGGAGTTGTGCTGTGGAGAAAGTTGAAATTTGTTGTTTGTACTGTGAAGAAGAAAAAGTCAGTGTTGTGAAGAACATTGAAATTTATTGTTTGTACTGTGAAGAAGAAAAAGTCAGTGCTGTGAAGAGAATGAAAGTTTGTTGTTTGTACTGTGGAGAAGTCAGTGCTGTGAAGAGCTGCCTGTGAGAAATCACTGAGAAGGTACGGGAGCTTTTGCTATAAGGTGACAACAGGGTGAGGGCAGTGCTGGGATTTTCTTTTGAGGAGTTTTATTTTAAACTAAGGTTGGAATAGGTGCAGCCTGAGCTCTGCAGGACAAAGGCACGTGAGGCTTTCTGGGCTGTAATTAATGCTCACACTCTGTGCTTTACCAGAGGAAGTTGGGAGGGGGGATAGGATGTGGCAGCCCTGTCCCTGCAGCCCGTACCGAGTCACAGGAAGGAAGCTTGCTGCCAGAGCAGTGTATATTATTTTTTCCCCAGTCTTTGGTGACTGCTGGAGCTCTCAGGCAGATCTCAGGCCCCTCTGGGGTGTCTCTGGCAAGGCACACTTGTTCAAACGCCACTTTTGCTGTTGAGGACGTTCTGCTGGGGCCAGAGAAAGGCAAACAGAGCTGGCCATCCTCTGTTTACACAGAGCTGTCCCAGGGCTGGGGAGAGCCCTGCTGGCCTGGCAGGCATTGTGCTGAGTGGAAACACTTCCAGCAGGCTCCTAAGGGGTTAAAACAAAGCACGTTCCTGCTGGCTGCACGGGCTGGTGTCAGGCGAGAGCAGAGCTGCTCTATAGGCAGACACTACGTCACGGAGTTATCTTTGTTTAGCTTGTCTGTGCTTTATCATGTTGCCCAACAGTTTTAATAAAAAAAGAGAAGGAGGAGGAGAAAAAGAAGAAGAAGAAAAAAAAAAGCCTAGCATGAATAGTTGTGAGTAGAAGTATCTGAAAGCAGCAGATCTGGAGTGCCTTCCAGCAGCTGCTGGCTGAAACAAAGAGGAGCACTGTGAGAGGCACAAGAAATGTGTTTGCTATCTCTGCTCTCACTTGCAGGGCAGACACAAGCCGTCACAGTAATGAATTTTGAAGCCTGGAGTTCGGACTTGGGGAATTTCTAAAACACAGTTGTTTTATCAGAGTGTGTTGCCTTGCCAGCTGTGTGATGGGAGTCTGGTTTCCATGGAGTGTGGTCAGCTGGGGGAGACAAATCGAGTCCCTAAAACAGCACTTGGGGCCATAGTCTCCTCTGTGGTTTCTCTCTCTCTGCTTTAAATTCACATTTGGAAAGGAGGAAAGTAGTGGGGGAGGAATGTTATTTAAATGAAGAGCACTTTTAGCCCTAGTCAAATGTGCAGGCCCCATGAGAACTCAGGGTACTGTGCAAACCAGTATAGGAATTTGCATTTTATCCCTCTAAACAATGTAAAGAGATTTTTTTTTCTTCAATTTTCCTTGTTATCTGGACCTTTTTGGCATTGTTCTCCTGCCTGGTGTGGGCAGGAGGGGCTGTACAAACTGAACTGTCCTGTAAGAGACTCTCACTGCTCCCCTCTATTCAAAGTTTGGTTTGTTTGGTTAATTTGGTTAATTTTGGCCCAGTGGTGCTGGTCAGATCCTGGTATGTTTAGCTGAAGTCTTGGTGTTCCCTGCATAATCAGGAAAATGCATTTGTAAATTGGATAGGCTTTCTTTAGAAGCCCTTCCTCTCTTTGTTAAACTTCTTTAAAATAGGTTTCTTCCAGCATTCAATAGCATTTTAACCAGATTTTATACTCAGTCTGAATGTTAATAAATAAATGCTGTTCTTACCATACATAGAAGAAATTAGTATTTTAATTTTGAAATAAAAAACTCCCTATTTTGGTAACTGTATAGTATCAATGTCCTGTTTGGGGAAAAGGGCAGGTTTCTGATTTACTGGATTGAAGAATGCCTAGAGAATTTTGGTGTTATGTAACCACCCAAGGTAGCTTTACCTGGGTATTTCAACTGCCCAGGGCACTTAGGAGCTGCTCAGGAGTCAGTGGGAGTGAGGTGCCCACGTGGAATCTGTAATTGCTGTTGTGGAATTTTGTGCTGGAGTCCCCAGAAGTGATGGGAGATTGAAGAGTGATCGTGCATGGGTGGGAGGACACAAGCTCCAGTCTCAGGTGCTGAAAACTTTATCTTTTGACATTGCTTTTAGGTTATTCCTTTTCAAAGGCACGAGTGAGGGAGATTCCTCATGGAGAGGAGCTGCTGTGATATGGTTTGCTTTGAAAGTTTAGAACATGAACGCTCTGTAGGTGGAGGTTTCTACTGGCAAAATACAAAGGAAAAATGCACAAATGCACCGATCTGAATACAATTCCCAAAAGATTTTGTGTGGATAAAAGCTTTTTTTGTGGCACTGGGGTGGCTGTGGGTGCTTCTCAATTAATGTTAGCTTGGAACAGGAGAGCTCTGGGTGTCTGTCCCAGAGCATTTAGCAGGGCACAGTTTTTGCTATTTAGAGCTGAGATGGAAAGTTCCTATTTAGATTTGGTGCCAGAGTCTTTAATAGAAATCATGGCTTGTGGTGTATTATAGGTCAGCGTATATTTGCTAGTTTATATTATGCTGACTAAATTGGCAGAATGCTTATTTTTACTGGTAAACATTCAGGAGGTTTTCTCCTCGCTCCTTCTTTTTCCAACAAAATGTTATTTGTCGTGTGTAGGAATTAAGGCAGCGTTTTATAAATCATCTGCCTTGGTGATGATGTGAAAATGTGCGGTGGCACACAAAGATTTCCATTGTCAGGTACCACAGGGCTCTAGATGGAGTTAACTTAGGCCTAATTTTAGGTCTGGAAATTATGGCTGTGTAAAAAACAAAATGCTTCTGGCAGTGTAGGAAAAATACAAATTCTAAACTTCAGCAAAAGCAGCTATTTCAGGGATATTACCAGAATAGGTAACCCTGGTTAATTTAGCTCCTCTCCAAGCCCCTGATGGAGCCCCAAAAGCACTTTTTTTACATCTTTAAATCCCTATGAGGTTTTAATAGGACCAGAGGATGTGAATTCCAGTAAATCCATGGTGGTGAAGTGCAGCACTGTGCTCTAGGAGTAGTGAGATGTTTAATGGAAATGGGGAAAGCCTGGTCACGCTTTAACGCCTGCTTAGCACCGATCTGTCCTGTGCTCTGCACAGCCAACTGTGCCATCGCTGGAGTTACTGACACAGCTCCCAGTGGCTTTTCTGGGAACTGTGAGATTATATAAAAACTCACCATCTACTCAGTCTGCCCCAGCTGGAAATTAGCATTTCTGTGATTCCTCTGCTGAAGAATTGTGCTCTTTTGTTCCTGGGTCCAAACGTAGGTTTAAAGTGTAGAGAAAGACGTTTAGGGACATATTTAAAAGTTGAATCAGCAAGTTCCAGTTTCCCCCCTAATTCTTCCCTTGCATACTTATACCAGACAAGCTTGTTTTGGACAGCATTTTATAAAGGGGATCATCTGAGAATCTGAACGTTTATTCAGTTTTTGATCTGGAATATTTGGCATAAACGTGAACTGTAGCCCTGGAATTTATAACCACGACTGTAAGAAGAGGAACAAAGCTTTTATTTCTCTGTGAATAGTCATGGTTTGCAGAGTGAGGTAATCACAGCCCAGCGCTGGCATTGCAGTCTGCCAGGGGAGGGACCTGAGTGAAAAAGCTGAGGGGGAAATCTGAATGAAAAAGCTGAGAGGGGGAGCTGAGTGGAAAAAGCTGAGGCGGGGGTGGGGGAGCTAACTGGGTGAAAAAGCTGAGAGGGAAGCTGAGGGGGGAATCTGTGAGAAAAATCTGAGGGGAATCTGAGTGAAAAAGCTGAGGGGGAAACTGAAAAAGTTGAGGAGACACCTCAGTGAAAAAGCTGAGGGGGGAATCTTGAGTGAAAAATCTGAGAGGGAATCTGAAAAAGCTGAGGGGGGAAACCTGAATGAAAAAGCTGAGAAGGGAATCTGAGGGGGGATCTGAGTGAAAAAGCTGCTGCAGAGATGGTTTAGTTCAGCCTTTGAGATCATCTGGGGTGAGCTACACCTCTCCTGGTGCCTTTTCTCATTGCTTGTTCCAGCATAAAGCGTGGTCTGGGATGCCTTGTCCATCCTCCAACTGCGTCCCACGTGTGCAGTCTGGGAGGTGTTACTGGGGAGTTTTGGGAGGGTTACTGGGGAGTTTCAGGGGCCGTTACTGTGGAATTTTGCGGGTTTGTCCCCGTGGGGTGACCCCTGTCGTGTCTCCCCGGGCAGGTGAAGCGGCGCTGAGAGGGGAGCCCCGGATGCAGCCCCTGCAATCCCCCGCGCTCAGCAACCACCGCACGGGCCCGCCGCCCATCAGCCCCAGCAAGAGGAAGCTCAGCATGGACCAAGGGGACGAGGAGCTGGACTGTGAAAACGACCACGTCTCCAAAATGAGCCGCATGTTCAACCCGCATCTGTAAGTGCCTCCTGTCTGTCCCTGCACGGAACTGAGCGCTGCCTGCTAAAATCTGCTAAAATCGTGTCCTGGCTCCAACTTTGCGCTCGGCTTTTCCCCTTTGTTCCAGTTTGTGTGGGAGATCTGCACAAGAGCCGCCGCGATTAGATGGGTTTTCATGTTTTCTTTTGTTTTTGTACAGCGTGAAGTAACAGGAATTAGCTCAGCCGAACTATTTATAGCAAGCCATACGTATTCACCTTGCGATTCCTGCAGCATTGTTCCCTCGCTCTTTGTAAGGCGCTCCTTTCACTTCCCCCCATTCTCAGGCTCTCTGGCTGGGGGTGGGGAGGCAGCAGCAGCAGCAGGAGGAGGAACACGAGTGCTTTGCATTTTTCCGAGGCCAGCAGCTCCGAGCCAGCTGCTTCCTGGGCTGCCTTGACAACTGGGCAAGCTGCAGTTGTTGCTAAACATTCCTGCTCTGACAGTCAGGTGTGGAATGTGCCGGCCAGGTAAGGCGTTGATGAGCCGTGTTGGGCAATCAGCAGATGCCATTGCTGGGAACGCGAGCCTGGCTGGCACTGCTGCAGAATTCCTGGCATTCCTGCCTGGAGGAAGCCATGGATGGAGCTCCTGTGCCTGCTGCCTCAGCTCCTGCAGCCCCAGCATTCCGCGCATTCCACAGTCATGCGATGTGGACTGAGGGATTTATCCTGCCATAAATCACCGCAGCCTTACTCACAGGCTGGGCCCGCAGTCTGCAGCCTTGGAATTTGTTACAAATCGGGAATCCAGCGCTGAAGTAATGCAAAACAATGAAAGCTCGCTTCTCATTTACAGCATACCTCCTCCTCTCCCCGAAAAATTAACTATTTATAGCCTTGCTCTGGGGCCAGGAGGGCTTGGAAAGAACCCTGTGCTGCATTTCTGGATGCATGACACAACTGAGGGGATTTATGGCATTTTTGAAATGTTATGTAACTTTATGGGGGAAAAGTGTGGTTTTTTTTTTTTTTTTTTTAAAGGCTCATTTTCTACTGATGAAATAAAACACAGCTGGCAGTTACGTACATTATAACACTTTATATAGCGGAGGCCATAAAAATAATGAAGTCTGAACCAACAGACTCATGTGCAACCAAGGCTCAAAACTAAAAGATGCAGGCAGTTCTTTCATGTGATCCCTTAGCTATATGTCACAGCTAATAGTTTCCAGTGTGGTACATTTTTATGGTTTTTTCAATAGATTCTTTCTGTGATTTCGTATATGAGACATTCATCTTTTCTTCTGGTAATAAAAAACACAGGTTTTCTGCCCAGGGTTCATGTGACTTAATCTGTTTCAATTAAACTACCTGCTGCAGATGAATTAGAATCTAAAATAGCATCCATGAGGCCGTCTCTTTTTCTGCTTTATTTTGTAAGTTCTGTCTGGCCATACAAAAGTTTGTGATTCATCTGAAATAGCTGGATTTCTGTGTATTTCAGATATATCAGAAAAGTTCACAAACATTCTCTGAATTTTGTTCTCATTTCCCTGTCACTGCCTCAAATGGGTTTTTTTTTTTTTTTGGTTGTTTTTCATATTTTCTATCTTTTTCTGATTCTCATGTTCTGGTTTAACTGTAGAATTGGATTACTCAAGCCCTGTGGATCTGTGCAGAGAATTTTATTGGGAGATGGGAAGTATGTTGTGAGAGCTTGGTTTGTTCACACCCAAGAAAACATGGTTGATTTGGGGAAATAATTATTTTCTGGAGCATGATAATGGCAGCCATTGGAGTGACTTGGAGATTCTGGAAGTGTAAGGTTGACAAAGTTCAGTTTAGAAATCCAAATGTGTGAGAGATGTGTAGTGTGGAGATCAGGTGCCACGGTGTCTGTGTTGTCAGCAAAGACATTTCTGTGACTGGAACTGTAAATATTAGTTTGAGGCTGTGTGTTTTGAATTTTTCAGGGCCAAATGCCCTGAAAGCACAGGATGAAAGTGTTCCTGACACAAAACCTGAGCACAGCTGACAGAAGTCTTTATAACCTCCAGCAGCAGCTCTTGTTCAGGCATTTGGGTCTTTGTGATGGTGCTGGTAGAACTGGGAAGCGGTTGTGTATTCATTCTCTTAACACCAGCATCTTGTGGCTGGAAATGTAATTAAATAGGCCAAGAATTGTGTGTTTGGTTTGTTATAAATGGTGGAACCTTTTCTGTAGCAATTTGATCTTAACTCTGAGGTAGCAGCACCCCACTGTGCTTCAGCAGGAATGAATCCATTGAAAGGTTTTGGATGTGTTGTTAGAAATCCAGTTACGTCAGCCTTTTGTTGGGAAATGGAGTGCTTGGAGACATTCCCTGCTCAGGTGTAATTCCCTGAAGGATCATTTGTGAGCTGCACTCGGGTATGTTTACTTTTATTGTGGAAAAACACAACTATTGGAGTGCAGTCTCTGGAGCAGAGTGAATCAAATGCCCTGGCAAGCATAGCAGGATCCTCAGATGTGTAATGGAATGAATGTGCAAAGAACACTTTATCAAATGTGCTTTTTCAAAGCACAGAATTCTCAGTGCTAGGATAATAATATACTTGAGAGCTTGTGGATTAATTTAAAAAAAACCAGCATGTGACACTGCCTCCCTTTGATGCACTTTTACAGCTTCTGTGTTTTTGTTGTGAAAGAAGTTGTGAACACCCATAAACTCCTTGGCTGGGAAGAACAAGTACTTCCTAATTAAAATATAGTGATAGGTAATATAGAATTCCCTTATTTTTCTTGTGTGTCTCTCTGGTGTTTAACTTGAAATGCACTCTCTGAAGTCAAGTCTTGCTGAAGTAAAAGGTGCTTTTGGCTTCGTGCTGCTCTGTGGAGAAGGGAGCTTGTTTTGAGGCTCGGCTCGAAACATGGCTTTGTTTTCCCGTGAATTCACTAAAACCACCGTGGTTTACAGCAGAGCGATTGGGAAGTAGGATTGCACGGGAACTGTGTGCGGTGCAGGGGCGGCTGCCTCCGTCCTGACCGTCCGGGGAGCGCTGGGGCAGCGCTGCGGGGCCTGGGGCCCTCATGCTCGGGGCCCTCCTGCCCGAGCTCCGGCCCTCTCTCCCTCATTCCAGAGCTCCGGCCTTCTCTCCTTCCTGTCCGAGCTCCCTCCCTCTCAAGCTCCTTCCCTCTCTCCCTCCGGCCCGAGTTCCCTTCTTCTCTGGCCCCTTCCCTCTTTCCCTCATTCCTGAGCTCCGGCCTTCTCTCCTTCCTGCCCCAGCTCCCCCCTGTCCTCTTTTCCCTCCTTCCCGAGCTCCTGTCGTCTTTTCCCTCCTTCCCAAGCTCCTGCCCTCCCTCCCTCCTTCCCTGGCTTCTTCTCGAGCTCCCTCCCCCTCGAGCTCCTTCCCTGGCTCCCTCCCTTTCTCCTTCTTTGTTTCTCTCCTGCTTCCCTCCCCTGTCTCACTCCTGCTCTCCTCCCTCCCCTTCTCCTTCCCTGTCTCACTCTTGCCGTCCTCCCTCCCCTTCTCCTTCCCTCTCCCTCCTGCTCTCCTCCCTCTCTCCCTCCCTCCTGCTCTCCTCCCTTCCTTCCCTTCTCCTTCCCTTTTCCTCCTGCTCTTCTCTCTCCGCTTCGCCTTCCCTGTCTCACTCCTGCTCTCCTCCTTTCCCTTCTTCTTCCCTCTCCCTCCCTCCCCTTCTCCTTCCCCGTCTCGCTCTTGCTCTCCTCCTTCCCTTCTCCTTCCCTCTTCCCCTTCTCTCGTCCCTCTCTCCCCCTCTCTCTCCTTCCCTGGTTCCGTCCCGCTCCCCTCCCTCCCTCCCTCCTCCTCGCTCTCCTGCTCCCCCTCTCCCTTTTCTTCCCTCTCTCCCTCCTTCTCTCCCGGGCTCTGTTTCCCTCCCCGGTGTCTCTCCTCCCCCTGCCGTCCCTCCCGTTCCGCAGCCCGGCACACAAAGGCCGCCTTGTCCCGGCCGCCCCGCCGCCCTAAGAGTCCCCAGCGCGGCCAGCGGGCACGGCGCTGCCCCTTCCAAAGAAATGCCCTTTGCAATTCAGCCGGGACCATTATTTCTGTTCCTTGTGCCGAGCACGTCAGCCTGCAAGCTGGCGTTTGGGAATTTTCCCCTCGTTCCCGTTTGGTTTGGTGGCGTTAGGATTGCGATGGGAATTCATTTCTGTGTAAAAATCTTCCTGTGCTAAATGTTCACAGCTGTGAAGTCGAGGGAATAATTGTCTTTTGGTTTGTGTGATAAATAATTTGGCTTTTTCTTGTAATAAAAGGTCTGCATTTGAAGGAGTTACTTGTAGTGTGTATTATGTAAAATCATATGTAGTTTCATACTCTTCAAGTTCTGGGCTGTCTTTGTTACACTGAAGAATGATGGTAATCCCACCCAAAACACTCCTGAAGTTTTTTACCATGAATATTCAATGGTGTTTGCTTACTTTAATGACACTGTGGTAGAAATTAGTGGGGAATCCTTTAAAAAAAAGTGTGCTGAAAGTTACCTTTATTTGCAGACTGTGGAATAATTCAGGTTGGAACAGACCATTTCATCCAATCTGCTCACAGCAGGCTCAGCTGCATCTTCAGCAAGTTTAGAGTTGCTCAAAGGGAGAAATTTTGAGCAAGATTTGAAATATTGAGTAAATAAAGTTCCTCATCAGAGCATTTTTGTCACCTTCCTCCTTAGCTTGGCTGAGAGCACAGGGTGGAAATGTTCTGCAGAAAATCAGGGCCCTGTTGTGGAGGAACGTGGCTCCAGCAGGGCTTGAAAAGATGCAGAGCTGGCTCCCAGAGGTAGCGTGGGAGTTGTCAGAGAAGCTCTTTGCTGCTCTTTGGGTTCCAAACTTCATGTGGTATTGAGAAATATGTTCCCACTGTCATTTATTGTGACAAATTGGAGTTGGGAAAAAACCCCAGTGCACAGCTGAGAACACCCAAAGTGTCTCTCATGTGCTCAGTGAGGCATCTTCACCCAGTCTCAGCACAGATGTGCCCCTGAAGGATTTTGGGGTTCACCTGGGGCTCTCAGAGCAGTCCTGCTGGAGCTGCACTCCT